GTCTGCATATTGCTGAGAACTGTCGTTTGCACTGCCTTGATGTTGCATGTAGCGTGGGTGTCCCTAGGTTTTGGTGGGAGCGCCACTTTTTGGTGCCAACATGTCCTGTGACAAATTGCACAAATGTTACAAGAACAACATGAATTCATTTAGATTTGTCTTTAGCAGAGCTTTATATTAGGGATTGTATATTACTGTCCACCTCCTAAAGGAAACTGCTGCTGAGGCAGATTTAAAAGGTTGTTAAAATTGTTACTGATTTTCATCTGGCATCGAAATATTGCATTTAAAGATCTAATACGTGAAATAATCTACGTGTAATCATGTTTACAACAGCTGTTCATTAAATCTAACAAACGTGGCAGGTGCATTGGGTGTAAGATGCACTAAGAGCCTGAAATAAATGGGAACAGCTTTTTCCCGGGCTTCCAGGTGCTTTGTGAACTTCTCTATATCAGTTTCTGTGAAAGTGAAGCCAGTCTGCCCTGTTTCCCCCAAATAGTTCCATCAAACCAAAAACCAGTGCTGTGGTAAATTAAACTTGATGTCAAATTTCAGCATCAGGATTAGTAATAAGCACTTGTAAATTAACTCTATGCTCTGGTGTTTTCTTTGTTTTATTATTTGCAATCCACTATTTACATCTATCTGTCGCCTCTATTGTAAGATCTTCTGTATAAACTAGAGTTGTTGATGGAATTTCACCTCCTCTCTGAGGTGATATACTCAGTTTATAAGAATCCTAATTTTGAGTAATTGGAGTTGAGCTTTTTTCTTTTTTCCTCTATAAAGGCTTACAGAGTCAAAGGGCCATATTAGTGTTGGCCACTGGAATTCCATGGTTTTGAAATCTTAGCCTGAGCTGCTTGTGGTTGGGTTTCTCAGACAGGGAGATTTGAGTGAGGGTCACCGTGGCGGAGGAATGGTGCTACAATGCTTGTGTGGTGTTTAGCTATTCAGCAGAGCTTTGTGGTTTGAGACAAAGTCAGGTATGGCGCACTCATTGCTCGCTTGTACTCCAAAGTCATACATTCCTCTGGCAAAGCTCGTGCGCCGGGCTCTCTTCACGAATGATAACGGAGCCAAGACTGTGGACTGCTGACAGGCAAATTCGAGGATATGTTGTTTGTCTACTAAAACACTGATGAGGTAACATCTGAATGCTTTTGTGTTTTATTAGAATGACTAAAATCATCTTAACCTTTTCCACATAAATACAACCTATGATTTAAAGATGTTTGCAAAGGTCACACAGTAATTACAAACTCATAAAGTGGCGTAGCCCTTAAATTTAATAATCTCACACTGATTTATCTCATTTGCTCTCATTTGCTGTCTTTCCCGGTAGTTTCTGAGACCATGTGGTCTATTGTATTGTTTTAGGCTGTGTGATCATGTTTAAAGACATGCCAACAGTGTGTGCGATGTCTCCAGGTAGACACGGGAGTCACTTCTGCTTCTGGCTTCATGTATATATTGATCTGTTTAGTGCAGAGTTTAAAATGAAAACAAAAAGAGGAAAGAAAGCCCATTCATTTTCTCGAGCATGAAAAGGTCACAGAGACATCTTCTAACGTGCCCTTTTTTCAGAGAATTGTTTGGTCCAGCTGTCACAGCAGGAGAAAAATAAAATCTGTTACAGATCAATCCGTTTGAAAGCCCCTTTTAAAATTGTGCTCGGCACTCCATTGACAGATTAGGGCTTATCAAATGCCCAATCTTAAAAGGAACAGAGCGTTAGCTAACCACAGAGGCATTTATGAAATAGCTTATGGAGCAGTTACAGTGGTGGTTTGTTTTTTTTAAAGTAAATGTTGTTGATCTTAGCATAAGGCTATGCAATTATTACAATAATAATTATCCCTTAATATTTACCACATCACATTTTGGGTTATTTAGACCAAAATACTCAATTCTGCTCTACAAGGGCCTGATATCCACTTATGAGGACATTATACTGCTACTGTTCTCTCAAAATTTTAAACTAATATCCTCATATGTGGCTCTTATTTTTCAAAAAAAAACAAAAATAAGGTTAAAAAGAAAATCTGGTAATTCTTTGTTTTTACATTCATCGGGCCCCAATGTGACCAAATATCAAAGAGAAATTAAAAATGCATGCCGTGGAAGAGTTCGGGTCTTAGGCGTAATAGGCAGACAAATGGACCAAACATCAGTGCGTGCTGATATCAGCCTCTTTGCAAATAAAACAACGTTTATCGATATGAGGGATCAGATTCTCTCATTTGTGTCTGAATGTTCAAACGTTCGTCATGAAAAGCTATTAAGGCGTGTTTATACCAGCAAAATCAAACCAAATAAAAGGAAAATGGGTATTTGCATTGGCTATAAGCCGAGAACAGCCAAGAACTGATTTATTCATACAAAATCACAAAATGGGTAAAGTGTAACTGGCTACTATAAAAACAGGAAGATATGTGAAGGGAGTATTTGACTCCCTTCTCCTCTTTAGTAGATTCACCTGTAAGGAGGCGAGAGGGAGTCAAGTTGGGGAGGGAGGGTGGGGGTGGTTAGAGCAAAGGAGCTCAGTCCTCTTCTCTGTTCTGTCATGGGAAACACAGAACAGGGGGTTTTCAAAGGGCAGATCTGCCCGAGGAAAAAAGAATCCCATTTTCATCAGAATACAGTCTTGACACATTTGTGCAGCTTCAAAGTGACTGCAAGTGCAGACTTCAAGGTATCATATGTATGTTTTATCAATGAGTAGAGGTGAGGAAGAATAGGAGGGAACTCGGGAGTAAAAAGAGGAGAAGAAATGAAGGGGAGGATTTGAGGGATGAGGAGGAATCGTGTGGGAAATCTTGGCCTTGGGAAAAAATGTTGATAACGACTCAACAAAAGAGAAATGTAGTTATGGTGCTGGGTGCGCTGTCTGCCACGGACGTGAATCAAGGAGTCTATGCAGCTATGCAGCTCCTTTAGCAAGTCAAATTCGGTATTACGTGTCTGTTGAATAAAGCTCTACTGTGCTATTTCTTTTATTCCATGCAAAACAAAGAAGGAAGGGGGGAAAATAGACTGACATCTTGCGGCCCTCCTATGTCAGCATGAGGATTTAGTGGCGATTTGTTGCATAAAGCTGATTTTTCTCTTTATTCTCTTTTGAGTCTTGTCCATACCTCCCACAAAATCCACGTGATACTCTTTGTTGCACTCATTTATGAGTCTGCTGCTTTTTCGCCTTCATTTTTTTCCACATTCCCCTCTTTTAACCCCATCTCTGTGCAGTCTGGATTGTTGATTAATACTGCAGCCGTTGGATAACAAACTTTAATCAACCACTGCGAAGTGAATCTCTTGGTTTTCCGTTTATATTTCCTCTAATATTCTCAATTTCCCCCTCTGCTGCTTGCATACCAAGTTATTTATGTGTGTGTGTGTACGTGCAGCATGTGGACAGAGATGATGTACGCATACGTGTTAAAATTGTAGAGAGGGTGATGCTCTGTTGGAAGGCAGCGCGTTCATTTAGCAAGTGCCTAATGCTGTGGGTGCTGTGACTGACTGAACACTAGAGAGGAAGCAGCCAAGCACTCGGCTCGGCTCCCAGAGTGCCGGCATGGGAGCACCGGGGTGGAGGAATCGCTTTTGTGCCCTCGTCCACTGGGAACACTCTCCAGAGATTTAGCTGTGAGTTTACACCCTGCCTACTTGACTGTATGCCTGCCCAAGTATCTTGTCACTGGGGAGATAGAGAGGGCTTTGAGAATTCCCACCATCCTTCCTTGCTTTGGTCTTAGATGTAAGTAGTTGTAGCTGATGAAAAGTGGCATTTGCTTTACAGCAAAAGGTCTTCCAGGTCATGCGCGTTTGCTTTTATTGTTTTCTTTTCTCTTTGTTTGCAATTCCTTAAGCTTTATTCAGTGTAGATGTTTGTGTATGCACAATGCACTGCAGTAAAAGTAACATCAGGCCCTTCTCCTGTTCCAGTCAAAGTTGCGTTGATGGCAGCTTCCTCAGTTCCCTTTGCCAGCAGACCGGTTTTAATTAGCGGGACATTCCGGAGAGTAAGTTAGCGACCGAGTGAGGGAGTGAAGTGAGTGTTAGTGACAGTCTTTCCCAGCTGATATTGATAAAGAAGAAGAAGAGAGGCTTTGATTCTGCTCTTCACTAAGCCCAGGAGAGCGTGGATCGCAACGGCGATAGCATAGTTGAAAAACGAGCAGCAGTTGGAGGAGAGGCCTCGCCGCACTAATGCACATTTTTATTATGTTAACAGACCGTGTCTTAGACTTCAAATTAAAAGCTGAGTTGTAATCACTGGCTCATCAAGTGGTTTTAATCTGTAGACTAGTAGTTTCAGGAGATATCCTGTGTTTGGGGATGGAAATCATTGCCTGCTTTGAGACTTGTTCTCTCTCTGCTTCAAAATGAAGCTAAATCCTAATGAAATCTCAGTAGATTTGAACTCCATAACAACTCAAGTTGTGATCTGGTTTTAATTAATTTTATTATTTCATTTCACGTCAAATGACTTACAGATATTGTAGTTTGTAGTACACAAAAGTCCTGAGATTACACCTGTGCGTCCTGTAGATTGACAGTGATGAGTGCCAAACCTGCGGTGAAGCATTTCTATAACTCGTTGTAGTTTTATGAAAGGTAAAGGTAATCTGCCCTCTCCGTACAGCCTAGCAGGCGTGCTTGTGGGGATGGACCTCTCATTGCTATATCGTGTCCAGCTGTCAGCTCAAATCAAAGAGAATCGGTGCATATTGCTCTTGACTTTAGAATACTGCTATTCTTCCTGCCACAGTATATGCTGGTAGCTGCTCACACTGCCCCTGCAAATGTCAGAGCGCACTGGCTTTGTTCTTTCCTCACTCATCCACCCTCAGACATGGCATAAGTGCCACAAGGTTTTACTCTAGTGTGTGTTTCTGTCTTTCTCTTTATAGTTGTGATGACAAATGTACTCGGGAGGTACTAGACTGTCAGCTTCACTCTTTGTGTGTGTATGTCTTCTCTCTTGTCTACAGCCACCAGTTCCACAAAGCTTGAAGACCTGAGCTTTCTTGATGAAAAGCGCAATACCCCCCTCCGGACATCCATTCGCCTACCCTGGCATAATACAGGAGGAAGGCCCCCTCAGGACGCTAAAGGTGACTGGGCTATTCATACTACTGCTGTAGGCACTCAGGGGAGATATTTGTAAAATAAACATGTAAAATATCGCAGTACATAGGATAATGTTATGTGGTATGACTCTGAAAAACCCTGAAGTTAATAGGCAGCCAACGGTAGTTCTGAAGTTTCCAAAGTACCACGTCTGAGTGCAGAGCCAACAACAAAACTGTGCAAATACTTGAACACTGCAATGTAAACAATGCAGCACTTATGGGTATTAACATTATCCTCAAAAGCCTTTTTTTGGCTTTTAAATCATGCCTTTTTTCCCAGCTAACTTTTATCTTGGTTATGTGTTTTGAATCCTCTGAGAGATCCTGCAGATTAAATATTTCATGGGAACATGAATTACTGAATAAGTCATCACTGGATATATACTCAGACTATTTAGTCTTCCTTTTGAAAATGTCCTCTTTCATTTTCACTCAGTCTCAAACATGAAGCTGATACATAAGCATATGGTCAGTGGTTCTGAGCAGGTTTTTTCTACATGAATTCGTACATACGCAACAATCTTAAACAATTGGATTCTTTTCTATAAATTTTATGGGAGATTCAGTTCAACTCAATTCAGTATTATTTATGCAGCGCCAAATCACAACAACAGTCGCATCAAGGCACTTTGTACTGTAAGGTAGACCCTACAATAACGCATACAGATGAAAACCCAACAATCATATGACCCTCTATGAGCAAGCACTTTGGAAATAGTGGGAAGGAAAAACTCCCTTTTATCAGGAACAAACCTCTGGCAGAACCAGGCTCAGGGAGGGGCGGCCATCTGTAGCAACCGGTTGGAGAGAGAGAAGGAAGACAGGATAACATACATGCTGTTGAAGAGAGCCAGAGATTAATAACAAGTATGATTCAGTGCAGAGAGGTCTATTAACACATCTTGAGGGAGAAAGGTGACTGAAGAAGAAATATTCAATGCATCATGGGAATCCCCCAGCAGCCTACACCTATTGCAGCATACCTAAGGGAGGATTCAGGGTCAGCTGATCCAGCCCTATCTATATGATTTATGGTATTTGTTTTTCAGATTTGGGTGTGATGGCACCACCTTTACCTAAATTTTGCAACAGTAGGTCAACATTTCAGTGCAGTTCATTGCAGTTGTATTCATATATTGCAAAAATCCCAACATGTGCCATCTTAGGAAACTCAACCTAGTACGCTGAGGACCTTACAGTTCTGATTTGAGCAACATTTAGTGACTTCCTTTTTGACTGGGCGAACCCTCCGACAGAACTAGACTCGGGATGAGCAGCACTCGTTTGATTGCCATGAGAGGAGAGTGAAAAGAAAGGGGGAAAAAAAGATGAGAAGGAGAAAAGCTTCAACTGTGGGAGAGAGAATACACAAACTGACATGCATGAACAATGAAATGGAGAAGAGGTGAGGATGTCGGTGCACCATGTGAGGCCTCCTGAAAGCAAAGGCCTGTCGCAGCATAATAAGTAAGGGGTGATTCAGACGTTAGCTGAGTGAGCTTTAACTATAAATCTATGAAAGGTTTTGAGGCTAATCTTAAAATTAGAGATTGGGTTTGGCTCCCAACCCTAAACAGCCAGCTGGTTCCACAGGAGCGAAGCAGCTTTAGCCTCTGCTTGTCATTCCGGCTTAGGATACTGAAAAAGCAAGTCATGGTCATTAGGGGCTTTATATTCAAGAAGATGGATTTGAAATCTAAGGGGATCCAATAAAGAGAGGTTAATAAAAGATAACTCTTTTTCTAGTTCCCGTCGATACTCCTTTTGCTCAAGTTAGAGTTTTTCAAGCACTGTACTTATTTTGCTGGTATAGTAGAAGGTGGTGATCATTTCAAGTGTCTCAGAACCAGCTCGTTCGCTTTTTGGTTTCATTGTAGGGCACTAGAAACATAAACAGACCTACACCTGCCAATATAAACACTCTCAACTGCCCCTCCAATTACAATAGGCTTTTGTGAACACAGGCAAACTCGCAAGGTGAAAACACTAGCAGCTAACAGCAGTGATAGTTGTAATGTTGAAAGGTGCATTAGCACTAAAGGTAGCAGTCATTTTCTGATGTTAGTTAACAAGTGTTATGAGATCTAATTAGTGCTGAAGTAGACCAGATAAGAGTCCTCTTTCAGGTCTTCACTCTGATTCCACTTAATTGAAAATGTATCCTCTACAGTGTTCAGGGTTTTTCATGTATGTGGCTCCTTCTGGGAAGAAGAATGCGGGAGATGCTCAAAGCATGTTTGTAGGTTAACTGCAACGGAAAACGATTTATTACAGTAAAGTTTCCAGCATTTAAAAGAAGTAATCATTTGTTAACTTCCCGGAGACATGGGGAAAAAAAATAGAAGTAGTGTAAACAATTTTAATCTGTTTCATTTCTTTTCCCGTTTCCTTCAGCGCGTTTTGCTCCCTACAAACCCGTGGACATCATGCTCAAACCTTTGCTGTTCGAGGTTCCCAGCATCACCACAGATTCTGTGTTTGTGGGCCGAGATTGGCTCTTTCAGCATCTGGAAGATGTCCTGAAGGCCGGCGAGTCCACAGAGAACCACGGTGCTGTGGTGGTGGGCAGCGTGGGGTATGGGAAGACGGCCATCATCTCCCGACTTGTGGCGCTGAGCTGCCATGGAGGACGCATGCGTCAGATCGCCTCCAACAGTCCCAGCGCCTCCCCGAAAAGTAATTAGTTTTAGTATTTGCCTTTGGATGTGAGCACTACATTAACTGCTCGTGTTTAGCTAATGTTATTATAATTTCATTTCAACATTAGCTTGCAAAGTGTGGGAGGGAAGTAATTATATATTCGTTGGCAATATAAAATCAAGTTGACTAATATTACATTTACCTTACAAAAGAATGCCCTCACACACAACTAATGTTATTAATGCTAGCATATACATATACAGAGAGATGTTAGTTTATATTAATGTAATAACTTTATATATTGGTGACCATGTGCATGTCTTCCAGCTGGCCCAGGACAAAGCACAGAACTTCCTCTCAGCCAGCCTCCACAGCCCACTCCACCATCCAGTGCTGCCAACACACTGAGGACCAGCAGTTGCCCAGGAACTCCCGAGATGCAGCGGCACAGGGAGGAGGCTGTCAAACGCCTGGCTGCAAAGGTGCGCCTTTCAACATCTAAGAGAGCTCACAGTAACAAAGAAGCAGGAATCAAAGAAGCTGAAAAAAGATTGCACTAGTTATGGTGGTGTTTACTCAGGGAAAAAATGTTTGGTGTGTGCACTGGATCAAAAAAAGTAATTTTAACAATTTTCAACAGTGAGTAGATTATTTTTTGTTTTTGATGGATGGATTTGTTGTTTCTTCCTTTCTTTTTAAAAAAAAAAAAAAAAAAAAAAGGAAAAAGAAGGAAAATCGACCAAAAAGCATCTCAGGTTTTACCAAGTACTTCTACAACAGCTTCAGTCTGACTTCTGAAAACTCCTCTTTAATAGTGACCACAGATAATTGTGATATATTCTGTTGAATGATGCATAAAATTATACATAACAATAAGGGTAGGTTGCAGTTTACTAGTCAGTGATTAGAACCTCCTCAGGGAGCAACAACCCACAGCGAGCCCTGTCAGCCATGACCTGAGAGCACAGAATGTAAACACACACCAACGTCAAACAGAGCCAGCTTCATCAATATTAGACGTCATTTAGGAATTTACAAACATCAACACACGTTTCAAATAGCAACACCATTTATCTAGGCGGCTATCAGTTATACCGACATGTATGGCACTACTACTGCTTAATTACTGGTTGGTATCCGTTCCTGTGTCAACTTCAAATAGGTGCTTAAATATATTGTAAGGCCGCCTGTTCAAGTGTTGAACTGGGATGTTTGAACATGATAAGGATCCTCAAAATTCCATGAAGCGGAGCAACACTGACTACTGAGGACAGTGCTTACTTTTTTGACAGATGAATATTCCATCTGTTGATTTTTCTGGCGTTACAAGGATCGCAAAATAAAGTCTAAATACTGCCTCTCTGGGAAGTTTACGTGTCAGCGCTGTTGAGCAGAAGATTAAGTGTTTTCTTGTATAAGCTTGTCAACATTTTTCACAAGATATAAAGTACTGCACGGTAACAGCTTTACATGTGTTCTGTTACTCCCCCACACCGTCAGTAACATTGTTAACCACTTGTCTGTGACCGAACCCCGCCCCCCCCCCCCAAACATGCATACCAGACACTGAGCATATTTCTGCACATCTTTCTCTTTCAGACTTGTGAAGTGGACAGACAAGTCCTCGATGTTTCACTTTAAAATGTTCCTCTCTCGATGCACGCCGACTAAGCAGTGTGCGGTTTTTGCCTATGACTCTTTTATTTTAGTTTTGGAATTGTTCGCTCTGTTTCCACTGAAATTTCTCTGTCGATTTTTCACTCCCGCATCTTTACTCGCACCACCTCTTCTTGTGTTGCTGAGGGTTCAGTCACATAGCAGGTGCACGTTCACTACATTTTGGAAATACTGCTTGCTAAAAGCACCATTTGATGACTTTGGCACTGCTATTGCCTTGTAGCAGGTCTAATAAAGATGATTGGGGGCCACCGGGATTCAGAGAAGATTTGTGATCCACTGTTGTAGTCAGTTGAGTTTGAATAGTGCTGTGATGGTAGGTTGTAAGGTAATTTAATAGGTGGCAGCTTTGTGAAGGACTTTCTCAGTGGATGTGACGTCTCCTACTGATTCTGCTGCGTTTAATGGTACTGATTACAACCTGTTGTCCTTCTAACACCTTTAGAATTTAATACTCTTATCCTGTCAGGGAGGCCTCCTAATTAGTGACCCTGTCAAAGGGGACAGTTCATGCACCAGACAGCTAGGGTAATGCAGTGAGCTTCATGTAAATGTCTGTGAAACTCAAGCAGTATCTCTTGAGCCAATTATGGTGAAAAGTGTTTCCAATAGGCGCCTTCACAGGGGCTCTGTTCCTGTGATGTGTGATGCAACGCTGAGCAGCTCCTGTCAGATTCTGCCAGTGCTTTTTTAATCATTGATTTAAAAGTGGTCTCATAACAGGAGCACTGAGGCTACTACCCTTTCTGCTTTATTCTTATTATCGAGACGTGCCTTTAGGTAACATTTCTGAAAATGCATTTATTGTTTTGCCAGCAGATGAGCTACCGAGGTTTGACTGCAGAGCCTTGCATCATCGTGTGTCGAGATTCGTATTGCTCATTGATGAGGCGGTAGTCTGCGTGACTTGTATGCTAAATTAAATCATCACTGCAGTAGGGGGCTTATTAAGAGTTGTGTTCATGCACACAGCAGGTTACTTGACTTTGTACAATAATAGGCATTCAATATATCAGTTTCCCTCTTTGTTATGTCACATTTGTGATGAAGCTCAAAAAACGCGTGACGCAAAAATGACAGAAAGGAGTGTTCGGACTTCTCTCAGACGTTTGCTGCTTTTAGGGTAAAGCATAACATCAGAGAAAAATTCTGGTGGTCGTGATTTTTGACAGTTTCTGGAGAAGATGTGAATCAGTGGTTGTGTTATTGTTTCAGTTGGTCCATCTTCTGACTGGATGTCACATGTTTTCCTTACTAAAGATGGGTTATATACATCCAGGGAGTTCAGCTATAATTTTTAAAATCTTACCTCCCTCTTTTCTAATTTGCGCTAGCTTTAATTGTGCCTTTATTGGCATGTGAGTTATATGTTATTATTTGAAAAAGAAAGAACCATAAATATGCATTTAGATCTGTGCTGTGGGGAGAAGTTTGGGTCCAAAACATTTATTGATGCTAAATGTTAAAAAAAAAAGTCTCATATCTTGAGGCTTTAGTCATTTTTCTAGAAGCTGGTCATCGGTTTTCTGTGGAGAACTAAACAGCAACAGCTGAGGTTGAGCCGTCAGAGGAACCGATCACCTGCTCCTCCTCCTGTGGGCCTGGAAGTGTGTCAGCTCCTCCAGGTTGGACTGTAATTAGTACAGTCATCTTCCTTCTTCTCCACCTCTGTCCCTACATTTTCCTTTTAAATCAGACCTCCTTTGAATGCTGCGGAAACCTGCTCAGGTACAGAAGATTCTACCTTTAGATATCCACCTGGGATCTACTCACTTCTTTTTATAGCTTTTCATCCGTTGCCCAATCTCTTCATCATCCCTTCTGTGTGAAATAATGAAAGGATAAAATCATGTCTTTGACATTGTAGAGATAATATGTAGTTTTATGGAGGCTTGTTGGTATCAAAAGCCTCACTTACTTACTTTGTCATGGTAGTTTTTCAGTCACCAGAGATGTTGGTGTTTGTAAACGCTTTAAAGTTATCAAATGTACCCATCAGTCAGTGAATCATATTTTTAATTCTTCCTGATTCTCAAAAAGCAATGGCTTCACTCGCGTTTGTTCTCGTTCCTTTTGTCTTCCAGGTGGTGGCTTATCATTATTGCCAGGCAGATAACACGTACACTTGCTTGGTCCCAGAATTTGTGCACAGCATCGCAGCCCTTCTGTGCAGAGCTCATCAACTGAGTGCGTACCGGGAGCTGTTGTTGAAAGAGCCCCACCTCCAGAGCATGCTCAGTCTGCGCTCCTGTGTCCAATACCCCATGGCTGCTTTCCGGAGAGGAGTCCTGGAACCGTTGGCCAACCTTCGGAAAGGTAAAACACTGTAGTTGTATATTGCACTATTTCATTTTCATCGTGTATGAGACCACTAATCTCATTTCATAGTATTTTAATATTTAGTTTATTTGTAAATGTCTTTGCAGAGCGAAGGATTCCAGAGGAAGATTACATAATCTTAATAGACGGGCTGAATGAAGCGGAGTTCCACAAACCAGACTATGGAGACACCATTGCATCCTTCATCACAAAAATCATTGCCAAGTTCCCCTCCTGGCTAAAACTGGTTGTCACTGTTCGAATCAACTTGGCGGTAAGAAAGAACTTATAAAGCATGGCTCTGAGTTCACTCAGATGACAAAATATTCACTGTTATAATCACCTCGAGTCAGAATTACAGATGTCACATTATACTGGTGATGAGTTTTAGTTTTAAAAAGTTTATCACTCTTTCTTCCCTCTCGGTAACTACTCTGCTTATCCGCACACTTTACGGCTGATTAAAGTAACTACTGCTAATGGCATTCACTCTTCTGTTGCTGCAGCTGCTTCTCTCACACACTCAGAGACTCGCTTCCCACAATGAACTCACACAGGTGCAGTTTGGCTGTTACACTGTTGAGTGAAGTACTGGATACAGGCAAGCTGTTAAGGGCTTGATTCTTAACTTAATTACCAGTTTCGTGTCTGCTCTTATCCTCTACTATCTGCTTTCCAAGCGCTCTGAGCTGAAGCTTATCAAAAAGTTTGAACACTCAAGACTTCTGTTGTTATATTTTTTTATACAAATTGAATGAAATTTGCACAGGCTGGTTTAACTAAGCATCTTTAACTAAGTGCTTTTACAGTCTTACCTTTTAATATATTTTAATGTTATTAGTGCTAGTTTTCACTTACTTAATATACTGTATTTTTCGGACCATAAGGCACACCGGATTATAAGGCGCATTAAGCGAAACAAAACAGTCAGATAAGTCAACTCATTTTTCTTGCTTCCTCCAATCCACATTGATTCATAAATGCTGAATTCTCTTGCAGCTGCTCTATTCCCATGTTGTTGCAGCATATTAATGACTAACCTTTGTATTGTGGATGGATTACCTCAGTTGTTCTCCTGATTGAAGTTTGGTCCGTTTACAGCATCCCGCCATGCGATTGCATTTGTCCCTAACCCTCGGGAACCCTCACATTAACTTTTATGAGTGAAAAAAAGTTAGCCTTCATCCTCTAGCTTCACTGTGTTTATGTTATGCTAACATAGCTGTGTCGCTAGCATATCATTTTATACCAGCTAGCCAAGCTTCAGTAACCCTATAAATGTCACTGCTGTTTAGTTTTCTGTCTTCATTTATGTCGAAAGGGACGGCAGAGCTGTACATTTAAATTTTTTCAGAAATCTCTTAGTCATGTATATCATGTTTAGGTGGAACTAGTGAGCTAACTTCTAACTCCGTTAAATTTAATAAATTTTGTTTTCATGGATGCTTGGATGTTGAACTTAATAGTTACACCTGATAAAGCATCAACGCTGTCGATTTTTGAGAAAATTAAAGGATTTTAAGTGCGGCTTATAGTGCAGAAAAAAAAAGTATGCCGGTTGTAGCCAACAGTCCTCCTGCACTTACAGTTCACACTGGCCCTGTTTCCCAATCCATAAAACACTGTAAAACACATTTATTGATTTGTTGACCAGAACATTTCATATCCTAAATCGGAAAATCTAACACTGTGGCAACCCTAGAAAAGAAATGAATCAAAATTCTCTCATTTTAACAAATGTCTAGCTGGACATGCCGTCACCTCTCTAGGCACTCACTCACTGTCACCAGACCCTGCACATTTTTACATTTTGACAAGTGTTTCCTGAGCTGCTCCCGCTTGTTATTCTACTCTTTACAGAGTCAGGCATATCCAGCAACATTCAGGAAAGAATTGAGACACATGACCTGCAGGGCAGGAGAAAGATGAGTCAGTCACTTTGAGCTGACACTAGGTTGACCAGTTCCAGAAATGCTATGGACTTGGATTAAATTCACGCTGCTGACAACTGAGGCTTTGACACTACTGATGAACTACATGAAAACTTATTTTCCTTGCTGGGGGAAAAAAGAAAGCACTGAGCCTTGGATAATAATGTGGTTTTTGATTGACATCTGGAATTTGAGTTATTATTGCTCAGTCAGAAGCCAGGGTCGAGTGTTGTCCATCAGTGTGGGCTGTACTATATAGTGAATTCAGCCTAGCTATTAAGAATTCAGGCAAGGCCCTGTCAGTGTGGTGAATCAATATATTGTAGCGCTGATATTTTGTATTCACCTCTTATGCTCTTCTATTAATGCATTAGAATTGGTTTTTTGACGTGGAAAGATGTTCCAGGTGACTGTACTTAAAGTAATACATTTCGACTACACTGCAACATCCATCCATCCATCCATCCATCCATAAGCAGAACACTGCAACATATGTGTTGTAATGTCTTCTGACAAAGTGAAACAGTGTTTAATGAGAGGGAGTTACTGTTTGTGTGAATTTGCTAAGGTGACGTTTTTAGCCACCTGGAGGCTGGCAAAGCAAGAACAGCAACAACAACAAGGTTGCAGTCGGTTATCGGAGATGTGTTTTTGTTGTCCGTGTGGTAGATTTCATAGTAACAACTGTGCTGGAAAGGAAACGTGTGGTTTAAGGCATATGTAACAGTAGCTGTTTTTTTTATAACCTCTGTTAGTGAATCCTGTGCACATGCTGGTCTGTGGCAAAGGATAGCACATTGTTAACCATGCCATATGTGTCTTTTACTTTCTTGTAATCATATTTTTCTTGTTATATTTCTGTTTTGTTCACATTCCCACTGTAACCACTTAGCAGTTGTCTGCAGTAATGAATCGAATGGCACTGTTGTTTTAATGGGAGCTATATGACGACTTCGCATGTGAAAACCTCGGAGTCGGTTTGACAATGTTTTTGTAAATCAGGCTCCTATGATGTTCAGTAAGTTCCCTTTAAGTGCAATGGAAAGGCTGTTAGTCACTGACTGAAAATGTCTAATTTTCCAAAAATGTAACAGAAGTCAGTTAAATAGTTTTTAAGAGAGTTGGCAGTCTTTTGCAGAAAAACCCTGTATGTCCTCTCTTTTTATTGTTTATTTTTTTTGGGGGGGGGGGCTACGAGTCCACATATTTGGGTAAGATGCAGGAAATGGTTGCAAAATCACAAAGAAATTCCAAAATTGATGTCCGGTGGGACGTGATGAGAAATATTACAAAAGCAGAATTCAAAATGAAAACAATGAACAAACAGGGCTGCGTACAACCACATGCCATGACACATAACGACAGCACAATGCTTAATAACAGAATTAATGATAAACTGAAGATATTCTACGATAACTGGACCATGCACAGCATTCAAAATAAAATAAATAGAGAAATAAATACAGTAAATAAAGAAAATGTATATAAAATGTTGTTTGGACATGATGGTTGTCAGTCCTGCTCCATGCAATAGACTATAATGACCATACACTTGCATTACTCAAAGGTTCTTGAAACTGAAATATGAGCTAATGATGATGGTTCCTACTTCCTTCAAAAGTTTTTAGAGCAAGTTCCTACAAAAGATCAAAAGCACAAACTGTACGCTCCATGCTGTATTCTCATACCGTTTCCCCTAACATTAAAGCTCTGGACACAGCAGTCAGCAGCATTGCCATTCAGTGCAGACAGTGGTTACATTCGGCTTTGTAAGTTATCTGAACCATTTGGCCATCATTAATATGCAAAAGCCATCGGTAAACCTGCGTCTGTGTGTGTATGGCTTTGCTATCTAAGCTTTCGGCTACAAGTTCAGAAACTCTGCAGCTTAGTGTTTGTATAAGCTGCAATTTAGCTTGAAATTGGAAGCACTAAATGATCGACTTTAAAGCATTATCACTTCATACTTGTAATATTATGCGTGTACATTTGTACTTGTCGCTTGTACTCAGGTGTCTCTTGCAAAAAACTCCTCAGTGAATAAATAAAGCTTATCTGCTTTACTGCCCGACTAACTCGGGGCATAGCAAAAATGAATCATGGAAGAATAATCAAGATAGCATTGTTAAGACAAGAAAATATGAAGGCATGAAATATTTCTTATTTGCAGACAGAATCAGAGTTGTGCATAGAGATGAAATTGTCACGCTATTGTTTTGTGCTTTGAACAGACAAATAGCATCTCACCTCGGAGGAAGGGTTCAATATATTGGCCCTTGCCTGCTAGACTAATATCTGGACAATCTCTGAGGTGTTGTTTGCACCCCCTCCCCCCAATCTTGTGGATTGTGTTCGGTATGTTTTATTGAGCGTGTGCATACATGTGCTTGTGTGTGTTTGTCTGTTTGCGCTGCCTTCTCATGATGAGGGAGAGGAAAAATGTTATCTTGCGGAGGCAATGTTTCTCTAGCCTCAGACAGGCAGAGGATTGGAGGATTAAGGTGCATTGATTTCTCCAACCCCTGGGACACAGATTGAAATGTGAGCCCTAGTTCAGACCTCTGCTTGCCCGCTAGCTACCATCCCATCCATTTGCGTCCAGTGTCACCTCGGTCACCAGGAAATTGTCTCACTGCTGCTCGAGTTCGGCGCCAGCGTGGATGTTGTTTCAGAAAACGGCATGAGCCCCCTCTGCTTCTCAGCTGCTGCAGGACACTTGGGACAAGTCATGCTGCTCTGTAAAAAGGAGGCTAAGGTGAGGACTTTTCATATTGTGACTACTTGACAACTCTACTGATGTAGTTTTCTTGTGATCATAGACATTTGGTTTCATTTGGCCATCTTTCTGGATTTCTGGCTTTTTCATATGCAGGGTTTGTATGGGTGCTTGAAATCATTAAAAAAGGCTTGAATTTAAATATTGTCTTTTCAAGGTTTGAATAGTGCTTGAATTTTAGATGTGGTGCTTAAACGTGGTTGAAACCATATTTCATTCAACACAAATAACTGAATGAGTCACAAAGTGTGAAAGCAAAATTTCTCCATCTGGTCTGCCTTGCACCTCTGCGTGCCAGTCTGTTTCAATGTGTGACCCCGCCCTCCCCCTGGGGATGAGTGCACTAACTTGACGTTGCTGTTTTAATGAGTGTTTGATGGAAAACGACACTGGTGGAATTTGCACTCTGAGTCACATGACAGGTGAGTCCTAGTAAATAATTTTCGAGTATGTGTACATAACACATGCTAATTTTAAAACTATTATTATTATTTTGCTAGCTATCAAACGTGCTGGAGAAATGCACTGAGTGTGATAGTACAGTAGTTGGTTATGGCATGGTGATTTATGGTATATGCTGTAAACATAGCTAACATTACTTAGCAGTAGCAGTAATGTGAGTTACTTCACTCAAGTAAAAGCTTTAAACGTTAGTCTGATACTTAACTAGCCAACTTGAGGCTTAAGGGAATAGTGGTAATAAGAGGGACTGATCCATATGGGCACAGAGAATAGCCACTTTTTGTGGTACTGAAGTTCCCGGGCTTTCATTCAAAATCTGTTTATCGTGAGCACCCACCCATTAAACATAAAAATTATAAATAGCTTCAAGCTATTTCAAGCTATTGATGCCTGTGGGCACTATCAGCCACTGAGACAACAGACAAATTTTAGTGTTTTAATGAATGAATATTTCATACATTAAGGCTGCCTGTTTATTTAAGAGAGGTGAACAATACATTATAATTATACATAATAATATCACAGATGATAGACTAAATAAATAGATTTTACTTAGATGCTTGTTCATTCTTAAAGTCTTATATGTTGAATTGAACTGAATGTCATCTGTTCAAAGGCTCTCCCAGTCAGTGCTGTTCTCCATGCCTGTCTTACTGTACATGATGTTATTAGCACAAACACTTTAAAAGTTACTGTGACTCAAACATAGAAAAAATGATTTTTTATTTCCCTCACCTAATTTTTCAAAGTATTTTATAGCATATAACACGTTTGAAAATATGCTTTGGTTCACATTTAACTCCAGAAAATCATAAATCAAAATATGGATATTACCTGTCCACAGATTCATGGTGCAGTAACTGCTCTTTTAACTGTCTGGTGTCTTTGCTCTTTGTTTGGTGTTTGTAGACATGGTTTACATGAGTTTTTAGCTGAGATTCAGAGGTTTCTGTGGACACTACTCATGTCAGCACTTATATTTCTGACCTCGTGTTATAATCGATTAAACGTGGTCTCCTCTCTTTTGCCCCCATTTTTGATGTTGTGGGTGCAAATGATCAGGCGTGACATTCTCATAATAAATCAGATAAAATACTGCAAAGAATTAATCCTGCATTTGTGTGATTGAAATGTGTGTGCAGTGACACTGTTTAAAGATTTGGCCTAAATAATTCTGGAGTGAATGAGCCTAAACATGATGACCGGACTAGTGACACCATATCACCTGTGACACTCACACACGCACGTATGACTTTGCCAGTTTCAGCTGAAACAATTTCAGTGTTTCAAACCATGTTCCAGAGTTTTTAGTTCACCGTTCATGAGGTTTCAAGAAGAAAATGAAAGACAGATCTGAATGTTTGAAAGTGTTTTGGAAAAACTCTGTAAAGAATAGATGAACAATACTCAAAGGATAAATTCAACTGTTTTATTTTGTTAGATAAGTTGAAAAAAAAAGTTAAACAAGCAAGTAAATAACGAAACAAGGTTAAATGAAGTAAGTTCAAAAAGTTAACAAGTAAATAACGAAACAAGGTAAAACGAAGTAAGAGCAAAAAGTTAACAAGTAAATAACGAAACAAGGTTAAATGAAGTAAGAGCAAAAAGTTAACAAGTAAATAACGAAACAAGGTTAAATGAAGTAAGAGCAAAAAGTTAACAAGTAAATAAAGAAACAAGGTAAAACGAAGTAAGAGCAAAAAGTTAACAAGTAAATAACGAAACAAGGTTAAATGAGGTAAGTTCAAAAAGTTAACAAGTAAATAACGAAACAAGGTTAAATGAGGTAAGAGCAAAAAGTTAACAAGTAAATAAAGAAACAAGGTTAAATGAGGTAAGAGCAAAAAGTTAACAAGTAAATAAAGAAACAAGGTTAAATGAAGTAAGAGCAAAAAGTTAACAAGTAAATAACGAAACAAGGTAAAATGAGGTAAGAGCAAAAAGTTAACAAGTAAATAACGAAACAAGGTAGAGGAGAGAAAAGCCCAACAATCCCCTCTGAGCAAGCACTAGGCGACAGTGGGGAGGAAAAACTGCCTTTAAACGGGCAGAAACCTCCGGCAGAACCAGGCTCAGGAGGGGGCAGTCAACTGCCGGGACTGGTTGGGGGGTGAACAGAGGTGGAGCAAGACGAGGCTACATCAGTTGAAGAAGCAGTATTGTCCCTCTACCGGAAAAAGCTGAAGAATCTTTTCTTCTTTTTCATGGACTTTTCCACAAGCGCCTTTTTGTCCAGGATGAGGGTTCTCAACTCATCGATGGTTTCTGTGTTTTGCCTCTCTAGTTTCTTGCATGTTTGTTCCACCTGTTCTAATGTTGCTTGTGTTTCTTCAAGCTTTTCTTTGAGGTCTTTGGATGTTGCCTCCTGTGTCAGCTTTGCCTTCTGCAGGTCTGCATTTCTCACTTGATCTTCTTTGTGCAGGCCTTCTAGCTGCTCATTTCTTTTCTGGATATCGCGGAGCGTACACTGCAGGTCCTCATGCGTTTTGTCTTGTTTTTGCTTTTGGGCCTGCATTTCTGTGTTTTCCCGCTTCAAGTTGTTGAATTCCAACAATATCCCCTTAATGAGCTCTGAGTTGTTTTTGGCCATGTGATCAATCTTTTTCTGCATGTGTGAGCATCGTTTTTCTAGTGTTTCCTTTTCTCCCTCCAGCTCACTTGTTTTGACCTTCAGTTCATCACAGAATCCTTGCAACTTTTGATTTTTACTCTCAAAGTCCTTGATAATGCACTTTTCTTCTGGCAGTCTTTCTTTCTGTTGCTCTTTCTCTTGAAGGAGGTCTTTATTTTGGACCAATGTTTGTTCCAACTCTGCCTTCACCATTCTGTACTTTTCCTGCATGCCTTGGAGCTCGCGCTGCAGGTCTTTTTGCTTTGTGTCCTGTTGTTCCTTCTGTTGGAGGACTTCTTTATTTTTTTCTTCAGCTTCATCAAGCTTTCTTTGGAGCAGGTGATTCATTTGGTCCATGTATTGCAGATCCCACTCCATTTGATCAATCGTCGCTTTCCTGCCTTGAAGCTGCTCGGACATTTCTTTAACTTCAGCGCTCTTTTTCTTGTTTTCTTTGATGAGGGATACAATCTGCTCTCTGGCTTGAGCAAACTTGATCCCCCAGCCCTCATTAATAATGTTGATGTCGGGCTGGCGCTGTAGTGTTTCTTCCAGGTGTTTGTTTTGTGCTTCCATCTGTAAGCACTTCTTCTCCAGGTGACGTTTTTCTTCTTCAATTTGTCGAATTTTGTTCTGGAGATGGTTGTTTTCATTCCTACTCTCCTGTAATGCCCTTTGGATGGATAAGAGGCCATTTGGAGAAATTGGCCGGCCACGCGTGGAAGGAGAGGCGGCGAAATCTTTTTGTCTCGGTTGCCGTAATCTTGGATACATGTTGGCGTTTGTATCCGATGACTCTGAGAGGTTTCCAAATTTTTCTGTAGTCAACGTTTGAAGGCTGCAAACACAAAGGCTGCGAAGAAACGAACTGAAAATTGCTGTTTCTCACCCCTATTTATAGAAAAACTTCAAAGGATCCTTGTGACATCCTTGTGACATCCTTGTGACATCATCACTCCTAAGCCAATCAGATTGTCACATGACATTTTGGAATGTGGAATGGGGATATGTTTTTTTTTAAACAGTTTTCAAATGTAACTTAATATTTAAGTGTTTCTTACTTGACCCGCTTAGTCGATTAAAAAGTTAATTGCCACGAACACCCCTAATGTTATATAACAGACCACAGAAAAAGGACAGGTTTTTTTCTACGTGACAGAGCTATAATAAATGTTTTGTTTTTTTAATTATCCTACTTTTCTAAAAGGGAACATTATTTAAAGAATATGTATTTAATTAAAAACTCTGTATTCATCTAAAGGGTATACAAGAAGGGTGAGCTTCTGCTTGAAAAGGAAATGACCAAAATAAATGTATTTCTCTGCAATTACAAACTCTGTGTAAACAGTCTTGGTGTCAAATAAAGCTAACACTGGTGAGATGTCATCAGAGCTGTAAATATTACTGCAGATGTTACTATGTCAAAGTTACTGTGACTCAAACATAGAAAAAATGATTTTTTATTTCCCTCACCTAATTTTTAAAAGTATTTTATAGCATATAACACGTTTGAAATATGCTTTGGTTCACATTTAACTCCAGAAAATCATAAATCAAAATAGGGATATTACCTGTCCACAGATTCATGGTGCAGTAACTGCTCTTTTAACTGTCTGGTGTCTTTGCTTTGTTTGGTGTTTGTAGACATGGTTTACATGAGTTTTTAGCTGAGATTCAGAGGTTTCTGTGGACACTACTCATGTCAGCATTATATTTCTGACCTCGTGTTATAATCGATTAAACGTGGTCTCCTCTCTTTTGCCCCCATTTTTGATGTTGTGGGTGCAAATGATCAGGCGTGACATTCTCATAATAAATCAGATAAATACTGCAAAGAATTAATCCTGCATTTGTGTGATTGAAATGTGTGTGCAGTGACACTGTTTTAAAGATTGGCCTAAATAATTCTGGAGTGAATGAGCCTAAACATGATGAC